TTGGCAGGTGAAGTTGGCAGCCGCTTTTAGAAGAAGAACCCTTCGCAATGCTTCCGGGAAAAAACTCTTGGCACTTGGCTGCAAAGCTTTCCGTGAGGCTGGTGCACCCCGCAAACCCTACCAACCGAGGCGCATCCCACGTCCTGCTGCGTTGGCACTGCCGTCCCAGGCCATCACCCCAGATCCGGGCCATGCACATGTCTGGCCGCACCTGGCACTTCGCCGCGTCGCAGTCCATACATCTTTGAAGGCTTATCATCTTCCATTTGCTTAAGTCCACTGGAAAAATAAGCATATTTCCAGTAGTGATAGATTCCCTTTAAAACCAGCAGGGGGAAACAAATGTTTTAAGCAAATGGAAGTCATCCTCGTAATTGAGCCTTGCTCACTCATGCTTATGGCCCTTATTAGCCTTGTGGCCATCACAACCCGAAAGTCCCGCCTTTACACAACGAACAACACGTGGGACTTTCTCATGCCCATCGCCTCCTCCGGTCGGGGCCCCGGGACGAAGATGCTTCGCGCCACCTGGGCCGGCGAAGCACTGCAGCGAATCAAGCGGACTTTCACCGTCGGATGGAATTTTCAGCCCCAAACTTGTGGAAATTTGGGGTCCACCATGTGGGGGTTGATCAAAAGGTCCTTTAAGCTGACCACTGGGCAAAACCGCTAGAAAGATCTGATATAAACCACCGAATGGGAAAAGTTACCCATGGTCATTTGGGGGGTCAACCCCCATGTCAGCGCCTCTACGACAATGAGCCCATCTTGATATTGCGCTTCGTGCGCAAAGCAATCGTCTCTCTTTTGGCAAAGAACGCGCAACCGGACTACGCTTAGTATATCGTCAGCATGGATATGAGTGAGCCTCCTAACGTGGCCTCTGTAAAACATGTTGCCGACCAACGGAGTAAAGCAAAGGCTCAGGCGACGCTCTGCCTGCGTGGCAGTTGGGCCAACAAGCTTGCGACCCCACCCCTTGCCAACAAATCCACAATGGCGCACCACAGTATGCTCATACATGTAGGAGTTGTGCGCCCCTTTTTCGAACGGCGCATCTGGTTGTCAAACGAAACCTCGAACCCTTGATGGTTTATCAATGCCGAAATGCTTGATTCAATTGCAATGCGAGGATCATGGCTGCCATCTGCCGTGCTGACTCTGGTGACGCTGAACGAACGACGCAATACTTGTGCTTTACATTCTTTGAACAGAAGGCCCAGGGAACAAAGCTCTCATTGGTCCTCTGGATGCCTGAAGCCTGATTCAAGCACCCGAGTCAGCGCTATTCTGCTCACATCGGCAGCAGGCCATGCTGATTGATGTCCGAAGTCCTTGCACGGCGCAGAAGAACATGTCACCCGTGTAGCTGGAGGTGTGCATTCAAGGTCATCAAGTCAAGAGAACCTAAGGATTTCAAGTTTCGGCAAGGCAAACGTTGGCTGCACCTGATTAATGGAACTGAATTCAAAACTGAATCAAGCTGACCTTGCTAGTTGCAACACTTTTTCCGTCTCAGAGCATTGGGGTGCAGAGCCGCGATTGCTGGGCAAGGGCGGCAGTGCGGAGTAGTCTCTCATGATGCTTTACACGGGTTGCCAATGTTCGGCCATCCCACGGTGGCTGTTGGCGGCACCATTGCGAAGATTGATACCACATAACATGGACTGGACAGTGCCACCTGAGAAATTCCCAGGTACAGGCTGGACAGCTGCCTTGAGCTCTTGGTCCAGCGGACGCAAAGCATAAAGAGTTGAAGCTTGACAGCTCAAAATGAGCGTGTTGCGACATCTGGCTTGCAGCCCGCACGTCAGTGTGGCAGCTGTTTTCATATAGTGTGTGGGCAGAGCGCGTCCTTTCAAGACGCTTCCATGGCATGTGTCAGAATGTGCCACACTGACTATGTACAACAAGTGCTGGGCATGAGCTGCAAGCCTGCCACGCTTCCTTGCAACTTCAAAGGAAGGAGGTGACAAAGGCACAAAGGCGATGTGCCATGAGGATTGAGCTGCTTGGTCTTGGCTCCAAATATCAGGTGTCCAATGCCGTCAGACCCACTCTGGATCCAAGTTCTCCCATTGCCAAGGCCCTCTTTGCCCTGAAGCCCAGAGGGCTCCAAATCAAACGAGCGTTTCAAGGGCTTGAAGAAACCCTCCTGTCACTCCTGACCTTAGCGCGGCGCCCGTGTTCCATATTCCATATTCCGCCCCGCTACGTCTGGCTGTTTACGTCTGACTTACAGCACCAATTGGGGTGCAGACCACACGAGAAGCTGTATATTGTACTATACTATCAAAGACTCAATGCATTACTATCAATCCACCGCAATTGTCTGGGGCACATTGCTCTCCGGACTGCGCAACTTTGTATCTGTATCAGCATCGTTGTGCCAGCATCGAACCTGCTCAACATCAAGTGTGGCATGGCTATCTTCAATGTCTACAGCAATGCCGCGTACCTCGACTGACATACGCCCTCTGTCAAAAACTGACCGCTGATTGAACTTGGCCGATCCTTCAAACTCGGAGCTTTCAGCTCCAGAAAACACCTCACCCCCCAACCCCCAACCCCCCGCCCCCTAGGAGCCCCTGACCTTAAACGTCCATCCAGCGGTCGGCCAGCAAAGATGAACCTGCACGGTGAGCATTTCTTATCGGTGAACCAAAGGTGGCTGTGCCTCAAAAAGCATGGCGACCAAATTGGCACCTTGGTCTGACCCACATGTGGCTGTGGGCTCAAACAATATGTACCCAAATGGCATCTTGGTTAAACCAAAGACGAAAGACCCTTTATACCCTAGCTATTGAATTTTGAGCCCCACCCATGTGGACCTGCTGATCAATCTTGCACCGGAAGGACTGTTCAGCATTGTGACGCATTTGGTGAAATCGACTACTTGCTGGATGTATGGCAGGTCATGCTGCGTTGATACAGTGACCACAAAGCTCTGATATTGCCTGACCATAGCACAATCTTGTCTGCATGTCAAAACAACGCTGGAAGCCATCCTCCCTTCCTTTGGATGAATAGTTGTTTGCTATGTTTCCTGCACATACGTCAGGATTGCGCGCTGAACTCCTGTGTCAAACTCCGGTCTTAACAGTATTTCGTGGACCCATCTTGATTGACACCAGCTACTTTAAAAGTGAGCAGAAACGTTTCCCGGACGAACACTTGCCACTCCCCCGCCTGTCAAGTGAAGTGCCATGGCGAAGGAGTGCTTGTGAAAGATTCCAAAGCCATCATGGAGTAAGCCATCTTCAAAAGTTGTCTGCTCGCTTGCACCCTATTCGGTATTTTCGTTTGCTGTGTCTGGTATCTTGGGCCATTGATTGAAAGATGTCGTTCCAGATCCTTGGCTTCCTCCCGGCTTTGCCTGGGTGAAAAAGGCAAGCGCTCCCAGCTACGTGTATTTTTTTTTTACATCCGAGCACGTCGGAAGGCTGGGAGACAGCACTCCCAGTGCTGCCTCCCAAGCCGAAATTCGGTGGCTGGCTCTGCAGCGATTGGCAAGTCTGCGGGAGACGCCACGAGTCGGGATGAAGCAAAGCCCGATTCAGGCCGGGTCTCATACTTGACTGCTCAACTTTGCCCATTCCAATCAACCTATTACTATCCTTCCAAGGCTGCATGCCCACAAACATGGAAGCCAAGAGCATCGGCGTTACTAAATCTTGCAGCTCAAGGATTCAAAGCCTGCATTGGGTGTCATGCAAGTCTTCTTCTGGCTTCCAGAACTCAGCAAGTTGAAATACATCAAGCGATGCTCAAGGGTATTGTATGTTCAAGAAGAGGTACTCGGTAGGTACTCCACCTGCAAACCACCCCGAAAATACAACTCGCTACTTTTGACCGGTGGTTCGAAGCTCGCCGTTTCAAAACCTCAAAGGGTGACTCAATATTTTAGTCGTCACCACCACTCCTGATGTGTAAGGCTGCCTGCAGTGGAATAAACAAAGAACAATCACCGTTCAGCATCACCACTCAGGACCGTGACAAAAGGGAGGCCTCTCATGGGAACGAATCAGCTGCCTCCCGGAGAAAAAAAAGAGAAACACAACAACAACAAAAAACGCCTCCCGTGGCGCCGCCAGGTGCCATGCAGGCTGCTGCAGGCTCTAAAAAATCCGGAGCTTTGGGCCCAGGCCCCCGGCTCGGGGAACTTCCGTGAATTTGGCAAGCCACGCCTCAGCGCCGGCGGGGGAAAAAAAAAAAAAAAAAACGCGTGAAGCGCTCTCAAAAATTTGGAATCCGCAAGTTGCAGGGGGCACAAAGAACTGTTTTGAAACCATTCAGCAATTTGAGCGCAGAAAGTCCCCAAAAAACAGTTGCACCCCATCTCAAGCCTTCAACCACGCGACTCGCGGTGTCCTCTCGCAATTCGATCTTGTGACACACTGCCAAGCCCAACGGGTGCAATTTCCATCGATGCCTGTCCGCTGTGGATGCTGGCATGTTGACATGAGTTGTTCGCTTTTCACCTGCCCCTCAGTTCTGGGATTGTGCTGTGTGCGTGCGTGCATGTGCGTGTCTGTGAGGCGGGCTTGTCGTCCTGGTGTGGGATTGTGCTGAGTTTCTCCCAAGTTTCCCATGCACCCTTCCTCAGGTCCCCAGGATCCTGAGCAATACGTCGTAATTCTGCTCTGGGAGCAGGCTCTGGAAGCCGGTCCAGTGATTTCCAATGCAAAGGCGATCGTTTCATGACCATGAGACTCATACTTTTCGAGGTGCACCCATATTCATACCCTTTCCATGTGGGGTGTCTGGTGTCTGGCGTAGAAAGCTAGAATTGCAGGACCTTCATGAACATTCTGCATAGTGGCCTCCAGCAGTTGATTACCACAGAGCGCATGAACTATACCTCGAGTCGGGCTCATCAGATGAGGTGGGTCCACGCCAAGACAAGAAAGAAGTCAGCGGAAACAGGACATCATTCATGGTCTGCACCGGGCGTGCTGTGCTTGTTCCAAAGGCCCTGACTGGCTTGCTGCATTGCACAGCTACACCTCAGAGAGAGCCGGACCCGCCAGCGAACGGGGGGGGCACCTTGCTTTCCCGACATATGCGATTGATGACATGATTATCACAAGCATTGAACATCTTAACCCAGAAGTTCCCTCGCACAGGTTGAAGTTGAAGCCAGAAAGTCAAACATCTGCACCAGCGGCAATAGGCCATAGGCCTGGTTGCAAAGCGGCCATAGAGAAAAGAAGAGTTCTCATGTTCGGGACCGCAGAGTGCTCAACTGGGATCATTTGGGTAAGGGTCAAAATTACGCCCCCAGGATATGGCCCCCAGGTTTTGGTCCATGTTTCCATAAGGGCAACCCGTTTTGGGGTGACCAACTGCTCTTGACCACCCAATTAGATGGGTTCCCCTGCCTCTGCAGCTTCTGTCACCGCCTTCCAGCAGCTGGCAAGCCTTAGACTTTTCACAGCCGTGGGATTTTCAGAGAGAGTCGTGGATGGATTGGGATGGTGTCAGCTCCATTGGGCATTGCAGGTACTGCTAGACATCTGAGTGTTTTGGAACCGTGCACAAACCGCGGCTGAAAGTGAAGCACAATCCGCCTCATAAGCATGAGGATTATCCTCAGAAGTCTTTCGCCGCTCTGCCCGCGGTTTCAAGTCGCAAAGCCGAAATACAAAACACATCCCACGACTTTGTCTGTCTGGGCTGCCGGCAACTCGTCGGCCTCCTCGTCCTCGTGTGCAGGTCCTGTCTCCTGCCACGCCAAATCTCCGAAACAGAAGCCAACACATTGGCACATGCACAACTAACCGAATCTCCCGAAAAACAAAATGCGCCAAGCAACCAAGAGTCGAGCAACTCATGGCTGTGGGTCAAAACCAATGGGATCCCATTTTGGGGTAGGCGCACCACCCATTTTGGAACCTATTTTAGGGGGATTGGTTGAAGCCCATGGCCTCATAGCTGTGGCTCAAAAAACCGGTACCCAAAATGGGTTGCCCTGGTAAGTGGAAACATGGACCAAAACCTGCGTTTTGCCCCTCCGATCGTTTGATTTGGAGCCACACCCTCATGGCTTCAACAGGCCCTTTGTGTACAACGTCCGCCAGCAGCGCCGAGTTGGAATCGGCGGCTGATGCCACCGAGCGGGTACTTGAGGCAGCCGTGGTAGGCTGGGCGCAGGGACAAGGCACCCAATGCGTGTGGTTGAGTTGGTGAAGCTGCGATCTCATGGTTGCCTTGGTGTTCTTTCAATTTTTTCATCATCCATCTTAGCATTGTGGTGATGACCCATCTCATCCATGACCACAACGAAAATCCATCAACACAACCACCACATCAATGTCAAGCAGCATGACTTGACTTGGCCACATATCATCCAGCCAACGCGCATTGCCCACTCCTTGGGGGGGGGGGGGCGAAGGGGGCGAAGGTCTATGTTCCAAGAAGGACCGGGGCCCTGCCTCTGGCCATGCCCGCAAGACGTCCGTCTCCTGTGCAGGCAACGCTGAGAATGGAGGTGGCTTTAGGAGACATCAACAACTATATGTGTGGCTTGTTCATGTCCTTCTAAAACCTGCGCAGCCAACTTGCAGGATTGCCCATGCTCTTGCCATTCACTTTTTATTGATGTGCCATTGAACATTTGGCGCGGCATATTGGTTGACAGCTCGTCCGTTGGCGAATGCCTTGTTTAATCCGCTTTTTGGTCAGGAGGTCTGGGAACTTGCATCAAACATATTGTCACACGTTCGAAAGCATGTCCACGCTGCTGTACTACTCACAACAAGCAAATCAGGCCAATGCTGCGCCAAATAGGGGCGTGTCAAGCCTAGGCCCTTTTTTGCCGCCTTTTAAAGAGTATCAGCATGGTCAACCCACATTGCACCTGGCCGCAGCACTCCTCTGCGCGTGTCGGAAGAAAGCGCTTTGGCGCCCACCTGCTGGATTTACATGGCGAGTTTATGCGCACCATGCTTGACGGCGTTCCGCAAAAAAAAGAAGCCCGCTGGACGCGGTATCCAAGCACATCCCGTCAACTCTATAGGGTACGCTCCAAACATAAGTGTCAAGAGGTCAACTGAGTTGGCAGGTCGCCTTCCCTTGTGAACCGGCGTGTCCCAACATGCTGTGTCAAGCAGTCGAGCGGACGATGTGCCCAAGGTACTGAGAGAGGCTTGTCATGCCATTGGACCTGTCCTTGGAGCGGGAGCCAAGCTCAAGTGCTGCGAACGCTGGTAGTAATGCTAAGGTGTGCACTTGCATCAATGCCAGCGCATCGTCACCTGGCATGTTGTGCCGGTCAATATGGATTCTGGCTCTGTGCACAGGGAAAACCACAGGTTTGCCCTCTGCTTGCATTCGAAGCCAAACCGCAAGCCCCCTGGTCCAACATGCCACTCATCTGGGCTCAATAAACACGTAAGCCAGGCATCACGTTTTCAAGTCCCTCCAGGATCCTACAGGCAGCTCCAGCACTCCCACCTCTCAAAGGCCAATGAGTGTCCCAGTCGAGGCCTGAGACTTGAGCTGAACTGGTCCTTTTCCCCTGGGCACCTTCTTGCTTTGAGAGGGTAGGCACGGCCGGGCATTCGAAGGGAAATTCGGTGTGTCTAACTGCGGAAGTTGCGGTAAAATTCTTCCCATTGAAGAACAGCTCTTTCACTGAAAGATTCACACGGCCTTCATGCCCACTTTCAAGACTCGGCCACTCACTCTCGGGCTTTGTGCTCCTCTTGTTTCTCCTGTTGAATCGATGTATGGTCTCTGGGCGGCTTTGCGGGCATCTCAGGTTTCGGGTTTGCAAAACCCATGGGCCAAACCGCAAACCTGGAGCAAAACACCAGCTCTCTCCGCAGGTCTTGGCGCTCTGCTGCCATCCTGGCAAGTCAGGTTTGTTTTTTCCCACGCCGCTGCAGCCAAGGACATCTGCGCGGGCAAAATGACCCTCCCACCAATTAACATGGAACCTGACAGAGGGTCCCTTTAAAAGGAACATGGTCTTCCGGACCCCCCACCCCCCTGTCAGGTTCCATGTTCATTGGTGGGAGGGTACTTGTCTTTCCTTCCAAAGGACATGGCCTGCCACAGATCATAGCCGAAGTCCTGCGAGCGAATTGCTAGTGGCCGGGCCTGAAGTGACTTCAGGAAGCTTTGAACTGGACCACTGAATTGCGGTGATTCACCAGTCGGGAATCACGAACCCCTTCAGGATGCCCCATTGCAGATGTACATTTTAAAGGGACAAGCTTATACAGGGATCCTTACATTATACATGCCTTGTAAATGGTGGTTCCCCTTTATTTTGGGGGATAAAGCCATGTTTCAAATGGGCAAAATGTATCTTTTAAGGAGCTCTGTTATATCGGTGTTTTTGTTCAAGGAGATCTACAAAGAATCGCTGACCCTGCCTTGGGCACTTTCCCGCAATGCGGGCTTGGTCATGAGTCAGGTATGCAGCTATCTACCTTTGCTTAAAACGTGTCCAACTCCTGGATGAAGTACCCCGGACTAAGAATACCCTTCCTCCCACAAACATAGCACTTCTGTAAAAAGGGGTATCTGGAAGATCAATTTCCTTTTCGAGGAAGAACCTCAAGTGCCATTGCAATGTGGGAGAGAGGGCACCCTCCAAGAAAAATAATTAGGTTTTCACCTCTAAAGATAGGTATCCTCCAAAATCACACACCTTTCAGCCACTCTAATAAACTGGGACCCTCCAAGGTTGCCAATGACTTGGGGAGCAAAACCAAATTTTGCCAAGGGCCATGCACCTCCATTGTTCAGTCACTGACAGGGAACAAGCCTGGAAACCGGGGAAACCCAAGAAGAATCTTGTTCGAGAGCTCACAACATACCCTTGGCAGCAACCCCCACATGTTTCACAAGCCAATATTTTCTGAGGTCGGATCAACTGGAAGCCCTCTATTTGGCTCTCCCTTCTGGTACGAGCTCTGTCACACTGTCTCTCAACTTGTTATGTTCAGTCTGCTTCGAACGATTCTCGCATCTAGCGACTCTCTTCTCATTGCGTACAGTCAAATCCCACAGCGTCCTCGGATGACTGCGCCTCTGCGTGGCTGGATGATGGGAGCATATTGCCAGCCTCGAAGAGACCCACAGGCCGTGGGTCTCGCTGGAAAACCTCAACTTCACCTAAACACACCTATCACCCCTGAGTTTAAAAGGCAGGACGAAAAACAATAGCAAAAATAGCAAAGCCTTGTGTCGCCCAGAAACCAGTATAGTAAAACTACAACTGTTTGAATACGTCCATCTTGCTGCCGGGGATGTATGTATACTGTATACGTATATAAGTACTATACTTACATAATGTAATATATATATATATATACACATTGTATATATGCACACATACAAAAACAATCATTACATGCATACGTATGTGTATACATACATATATATATATATATATTTATTTATTTATACACACGCATCATTGTATATGAGCAAACTGTAGGCTGCCACAAGCCAAAACGTTTTACCGACGTCCTCGCCTCCATCCAAGCGAAATAATCTGTGGGATGCTCCTGTCGCGAGTGTCGCCCCTCATTGGCAGCATGGCAACAGGGCGTAGCATGGGGGAGGGTCAACATTTAGCTGTGGGTCAAAACCAATGGTACCATTCTGGGGTAGGTGCACCACCCATTTAGTCTATTTTAGTGGGGATTCGGATGTTCACTGGGGGTACGCAGTTTTGACCCACGGCCATTTGACGATCATCCCTGCACTCCCCCCAAACAAATCACCGCTGAATTTGAGCGCCAACAGGCAAGGACAGCCAACCCCCTGAAAGGGCATGGCAAGCACCTTGGTAAATTGACTTGCAACTTACAGTATATACTTTAATCTACCAATCTGAACTAAGGGATCCCAGCGAATGCCAAGAAAACGGAGACTACAAAAGGGGCCAAATGGTGAAGTCGGATTCTTCCGAGGGGCCATACAAAGCACAGGAAGGCCCGTAATCAGGGGAAGGAGGCGACGCTGTGGAACCCCGTACTGCTGCGACGTCGATTGCGGCCTCCCTGCGATTAGCACGCAGGAACATAGGTGACCTTCTGGTAAAATAGCTGGCCCTGGTAAATGAAATCAAACCCACCTAAACCAGTGCCATCCATTTCTAGCCAAACTAACCCAGAAAGGACATTACAAATCAAGAAGGCCTGGAACGAAGAAAGTATCAGTCATCCGACTCGCAGCGCCCGGCCTTTGACTTGATCTCACCATGCCAAACCCTTCCCCCCCCGCCGCCCCCACGCGCCTCCCATTGCATGCTCTCCTGCAGACGAGGGCAAGTGTTTGAGCGTGATATGCACGTGTGAGGATGCCTCACCGAAACAAACCTGGCAAAGAAAAAGCCCACAGCTGTGCTCGTTTGGTTCTACAGAGATCTCGTCCTCGTGGGTTTCCCACGGAGCTTCAGGCTCAGTTCCTCTCGCGCGCGCGCGATTCGGAGCAGGCGGAGCCAGCCATGCATCAGAAGACCCAACCCGCAAACCGAACTCCGAAGTCCGGCTAGGAACCCCAGGTGAGTCAAAATTTCATAGCGATCGGCCGCCGATGGGCCTTAAAATCGTGTGCCCACAAACCATGCTTAAAGAATCAAAAAGGCGGCGAAGGCGCCCGTCTGCGGTTGGGATTGTCCCTTGACCTCAGCGATTTGGGTTTTGAGCAAGTGGGAGGGTTTCCACCACTCGGTCCGGTCCTGAGACATCAGCAGCTGTACACTTTCGTGCGACGGCCTGGCACAGCGATTCGCGGCAAGCTGCCCAATCTCTGGCTGACGTGCCTGGCAGTCACGCTTGCTATGGATCGAGTTTACCGCTTGACCTTTGTTTCAAACTTGTCTTGAAAGCAACAGCTTCGTTCTCATCCTGTGACCGATGTATTGATCCGTAAAACATCTAGAATCCGGAAACCCTCACCAAAAATGCGAGGACACGGCATTTCAAGCGGCCTCAGAAATCGCCTTCGTCGCTCGAAGCTCCAAGGCTTGCTCCACCTCGTACCTACGCATGGCGACTTAGTGGCCCTCGAGAAGAAAGCAATTGACACGCAGAGTCCTCAAGCACCCATAGGTTTTGCAATCTGATGGGTGCTTTTTGTCAAACCTTAGAGTTCCGCTGTGACACACATTTAAGCTTGCCAAAACATGATTCAAAGTAAGCTCAGCAAGAGCTCAGAAGCCAAACCCAGCAACCTCCTGAAACCAATCCTCATACCTTCCAACAAGGTCCCCAACATCATGCCGGCGCCTTGTCTGGGGCCTTGTCTTCGTTGGGATGTCTTCGAGACATGTCTCTTGGCGCACCTCTTTCTGCTCTCCGGAGATGCCCCGCGATACTTGGCGGCCTTCAGCGCCTGTTCCGCGCGCCGCTTCAACTCTTGACCTGAGTGAAGGTCGTGAGTCACGCGTCTGAAAACCTTGGGAGAAATCGGGGTGGGGAAGGCTGCCAAGAACACGCAACAAGAGCCTGGGTCGTCAACGGTGAATTCCACGTTTCAGTTCAAAAGGGGAGCCGACATGAGACTCTCTCTTTGGAGCAGCCGATACGTTTGACACGTTACACAGAATGCACTGGTAAGCTATCTCAGTGCCCGCTCAGTGCCCAGCGAGGACTGAGTTGCCTAGGTGACATGCTCACGGTCATCCGAGTCATTTGTGAACTGGCTTCAGTGCGAAGAGCACACCTTGCAACAAGTCAAACACTTCAGAATCTTGCGAAGGAAAAGTACAGCACTTCCTGATCCAATTCTTTCAGCCGAAGCACTGGATATCAAAACTATCTATATATTTGAAGTACATGCCGTCCAATCAAATGGATAAATGGACAAATCCAGGACTTCAACCGCGCCGCACAGGGGATTTTTACCAAACCATTGATAGGCTCCACTTGACCGCTCCACTTGACCAAGGTGAAGGCAAAACATGTCACCATGTTTGAGCTTGGTGTAGCACAAACCTTTTTTTGAGTTTAGATTCTTGTCAAACACACCCACCAACAAATGAGGGTTTTGGGGCTTAAGGCAGGTCCCCTTTCCCCATCTGTGTAGATGATTGATGCCCTCTGTGATGGCGCAGCCAAGGGGCCCCGCACCTCCAAAGTGGTCAGGCAAAACAAGACCCTGTAGGAGAATTCCTCCAACATCACCACCCAATAAGACACATTCAATTCACATCGACTCCAACAGGTGATCTGCGGATTCCAAGAAGTCCGGTCTTGCTGGAGGGCTTTCAGGGAGATCCAAAGAGGACGCCAACCATCTCAAAGCGGGGTGCCATCTTGATACCCAGCAGCAGCAGCAGCAGGAGGAGGAGCAGCAGCAGCAGCAGCAGCAGCAGCAGGAGGAGGAGGAGGAGTAGTAGTAGTAGTAGTAGTAGTGGTAGTAGTAGTAGTAGTAGTAGTAGTAGTACTAGTACTAGTAGTAGTACTAGTACTAGTAGTAGTACTAGTACTAGTACTAGTAGTAGTAGTACTAGTAGTACTCAAAGTCATAAAAAACAAGAAGAACATGTCTATCCCAGCATTTGCTGCCAGGATGCTCAACGCGCTGCCGAGCAGCCGCCATCACCTGCCGGCTTCGCTTGGCGAACCATTTTTGGGGTTTCTGGACCAAACACGAGTATGGGTCAAAGTTAAAGCACCAGAGGACCGCCGGTATCAGTTCTTGCTTCCATTTACCGGGGACAACTGAGAAACCAGTTTTGCTAACAAATCTTTGATGTGCGGCAAAGAACAGCGAGCTCGTGAGCCTCCGCAAGGCCTACAACCAACATGCTGGAGCAAGTCCCCCATAAACGGCTGCACAACGCTCTTGAGCAGCGAAGTGAGTTGAACCTGATCTACGCTGCAATCTTGAGCTCATTTAATACTTCGTGCAATCCAGATTCGATTGATCCAGCAGCCTTCCATGAATCATATGTTTTTTTGGGGGAGGGGCAAAACAATCCTTCAAGGATCCTGAACTCCCATCCAAATCAAGAACATGTACTGCAATGGTCACTCCACAAGTATTATTTCGCTGAACAGCTTGGCTTGCTCAAGATCCCATACGCGGCCTCTGGGTGCTGCCCAAAACACACGTCTCGCACGACCACTACTGATCCGGTCGACACGATCGCGCCAAGCGCCTCTGCAATCTTCTGGGACACTTCCTTGCCAGTCTGCCCCTCCTTGCAACGTCGTGAAGGCAAGGTGCGCAATTCGTCACTGGCCAAAGGAACCCAGGTGTTTGACACAGGCCATTCGCCTGGCACCGATGGGGGGCACCTTCAAACTCTGCACCCCAAATCTGCCAAAAGCACCACCAACATTCCGAAGCCCAAAGAAGCCTCCCGTTTCTTCGGAGCTTCATGTTGGGCGCAGAGTCCCTCTTCCGTTTCTGGCCATTGGAGCAAGCCACTTGCATCTCGGCCTGCCTCCAGCTTGGTTTTGCTTTGATCTTTTTGCCTGGAGGTGCGGCCCCGACTCCCAAAGGCAACTTTTGCGCCCTAAACCGGAGGTGCCTCTCAGGGACCCATGCTCACCTTAGCCAGAATCTTTCTGTGGTCGGTTCAGAAAGCCAAAAACCATCCACCTATTTACCCGTTTTGGCAGCGACCCTAGAAAGGAGCCCTCTGTGTGCATGTGTTGTGGGGGTTTCCCAGCCAGGATTTGAAGAGGCCGAAGAGCTGCTCAGCAAGGACCAAAGCGGAAAATGAAAGTCGTGGAAGAAGGGCCGTGAGGAGAGAAATGTTGTGAACACTTATCATGTTCTTCAAGATCCACACCTGCAAGCGATAAATCTCAAGGCCCAACTCGCAATTCTTGCTCTGGCTGGCGCCACCAACCGGAAGGTTCTTTCAGGGCATTTCCGAGGATTCATTCGAATTTCCGTGGCTTCAAGGGCAAAGAACATGCTCAACGAGTCGTTCGTGCCCAGCTCAGCGAACCGGCGCACGCCTAAACAACCGCAAGACATGCTTGGTTCACATACACGTACACAAATACATATTATATATAATATTATATACAAATATGTGGTATGTATATAATGCGTTTCTTTGTTCCATTTTCCGCCTCAGGTTGCATTCAGAAGCTGCGCCTGGGAGGCTCCGGCAGCTGGCGAACGCCTTTTCGGTGACGTGCTGCTGAGAGGGCCTGCGCTCTTCGCTGGAGGTCGAACCATTTGGCTATAGGTCAAAACTGCGTACCGCCAGTGAACATCCCAATCCCCACCGAAATAGCAACATGGGTGGTGCACCTACCCCAAAATGGTACCATTGGTTTTGACCCACAGCCATTTCAAGCGCGTTCAAGACATCCATCGGGCCATCGATAGGGCTTGACTCCTTGGCCTGAGGCGTGGCAACATATATAGCTCACGATTGGCCTGCCACTGCTACATCCATCTCCCTTCAAGGTGTGCAAATCTCATGGAACCGGAGACATCATGGAATCCAAACATCCGGGACTTTGACTCCCTTGGGAAGACCCTGCTCTTCCCGAAACGGCTATGCGAAGGTATGCGGAGGCCCGGGGCCCTTGCTATCCCCCTTGAGCAAAGCTCCATGCTGGTGCCGGGCAATGGTACTTTCCACGACGTGTGGATGTCTTGCTTTCATCTGAAACCGCCGGGGGGCCGGGGGTATGGAGCAAAACGCCTTTAGACAACAATGCACTTTTCTGCTTGGCTTACTGTCGAACAAAAGTTCAAACACTTGCTGCCCGGCCCTTTGTCAAGCAACACGGCATGGCCACGAGCTTCTGTCATTAGCTGCTATGGTCACCGACTCGCTACCATTGTCACTGGGAACTGCGCACCCTTCCAAATCATGGAAGGCCAAGGGTTCGCGCACAGCCCAAATAGGCAACAGGCCGCCTCTGGCCACCCCAAGCCCCGAGCAAGGCTCCTCTTTGGCTCGGACGGCCACGTGAGGCGCAGGGGGTGGGCATGCCGGCGGTGGTGGCCTGTCGCGATTTTCTTTGAACTGGCTGTGGGTCAAAACCCAGCAAACCCCTGGTGAACATCAAAATAGGTGGTACATGGGTGTTCATCCGCCCCAAAATGGGATCGGCATAGGTTATGACCCATGGCCAACTTGCGATCGCTGCGATAGGTGGGGCACGTGCTGAAAACAACCCGGGCTTTGGTCCCCGCAAAAAAAAAAAGAAGAGGGAAACAATTCGCCAGTTGGATGGTTAAGTTCGGGGTGCCCAAGGGCCTAAAGTCAGGGACCCCTTCAGTTCCCAGAGCAGCACATCAGAGCCCAAGATCCTGCCCACTTTGCGTTCTCAGGCTTGGGGGTGCTGGACTTTAAGCGACAGAGGCGTGCGCGGTGTGGCACGGACACTCCCTTGCCTCGAAGTGGGACCTCCGAATTTTGAAAACATCCAAAAGGATCCTAGCTGTTTCATCGGCGGGTTTGGTGTGTGCCCTGGTGGCAGCCGCCAATAGCTTCTAAGAGACCAGAAGGAAACCGCTTGGAAACCGCTTGAACTTGGTCGGCTCGTTGGTTTGTGGTGAAATGGATATCATTAGCTCCTGAAAAACAGCCCCTACGACACAAGAGCCGTCGAAATGATCAGCGGTCTAAGGCCTTCCATCAAGCAACAATGCTGCCCACATTTGGGCTTGTCATGCCGGGCTGAGAAAACTGCCAGAAATCTGTAATGGTTGGTGTTCTTTCGCTCTCCTCTTTCTTTTTTTTTTTCTGGGGGGGGTTGGGCGGGTTGGGTGGAATATTCTGAATATTGCTGATCAAACATGGATGATGTAAACTTAACAATCTGGCCATCCCCGTTTGCATGGAGTAATCAAAACACGTGTGAGCTGTAGCTAGGAAAGAATCAGGACAGGTAGGATTAGAGATGAAGGGCATTGTCTTCAGGCTGAACATAGTCAAGTTTCTGGTAGTGGCTCCAATGGCTGACAATCAATGTGTTGGAAGCAAAAGTGCCGTGCCTGGCAAAAGCAATACGGCATTGGCCAGTTGATGAAATATGGCGGTGGCCAATCGTCCAGTGGCGGTGCCCGTCTACTACGAGCCACGCGGTCGCCGGTGCTCACCCCAAGTCAATGTGACCGTTGACTCTCGTCTCCTTTTTTGTGGCACCCCGCACCCGCCTGACCGCCATAGGGCTCGTCACAGACCCAATGCAGCGGCCACTGAAGGGCAAGACCCTTCTTGGAGCCCAAACGCCATGCCAGGCACATGGGAGTTGACACACCCTCTCAAGGTCCGCAGGCCTCCAATTTGGGCTCAGATCGGCCTTTCCCAAGTGTAGCATTGGCTTAGTATTGGTTAGTATTGGTTTAGTACTGCTTTGTGCTGCTCGAGTACTGGCTTTGTATTGGTTAGTATTGGTTTAGTATTGCTTTGTGCTGCCTTAGTACTGGCTTTGCCCTAGTACTAGCTTAGTAGTGGTTTGTATTGGTGTAGTATTGGTTTAGTATTGGTTTAGTAGTGGTAGAAATTGTGTTTTCCGCCCGGAAAACGGATGCACCATTGGGTACCCCTTTATCATTTCTATTATTGAGTATTTGGGGTGGCCACGTACTACCCCTTGTTTGTTGGTTTTTTCGGCTGAGCACTGTTGTATAAAGGCGACGAGAGGTTTCGGGGATGGGTGTTGTTTGCGGATGTTCTGATCCCTTTTCACTTTGTGGGTAGACACAGCAACTTTTGAAACCTTGATTGGGCATCCCTTCGTTCATCGACAAACAAACTTTTATTGACACACAAGTTGTTGCTGTGCGTTGTTTATTTGGCCAGCCCCAAACTACCTAAAGGTCGCGCACGTGCTCAGAGACCCGGATTCGTTCGTTCGACCAACCAAATCGACCCAGAAAGTCTCAGGGCTCGGGCTGTGAGCCACGCATCCCTCCGCCATGCCTGCACCGAGGCGCTGCTTGGCGCCAGCTTCGGCCCGGCCAAGTGGGTTCTCTTTGACCAAAAGCTGTGGCTAAAAAAACAAAAACAAAATGGCACCTTTGACATGCCACCAAAGACTCAAACCTGCGGTTTGCCCTAGCTCGTTAGTTTTGAGCCACGCCCATATTCAGGTCTAGCTCTAGACTGCGCTAGGGCGACTGAGTTGTGGGCGCATTTTGACCGAAGCACTCATTAGGTCGAGGAACCGCTGGCCAAGGCGCGGCAAGCTGTGTCAATCCAATTCCGAACTCCCCGAAATAGGCCAAAGCTTTCAGTTCACGGGTGCTCACAAAATTTCCGTCACTGCGAGTTGAGCTCCAGGGGGTCTTTGAATCTTTGTGGCCATGGCCCCAGTGAACATCAACCAATGCCCACTAGAATAGACGAAATTGGGTGGTGAATTCACCTACCCCAAAATGGTACCATTTGTTTTCACCCACAGCCATGTCACCCCAAATTGAACGCCAAGCTGATCAAGCTTTGTGCTACGCATGAGCCCAAACATGAACCACACACCAAGCGAGGGGATGTGAGCCTTGTACATGATCGGCAACAAGTACGACCGATTTGTCGCGGGCAAGGAGAATGGACAGGCTCAGCCGCACAGCATCAGTCCGATCAGTCTCGCAAATAAGAGCAAAGACAACTCTCCCTTCGCAGCCCAGTCACACTATTTCGTGAGGCATTTGGCACCGCCTCTTGCGACGGAGAATGTGAGACACGAGTCACGGTCAACCGGCAGTGCGCACGGTGCCATCTCTGCATGAGCACTCGCAAAAGCAACAATCATTGCTTCCTTTACCACGCAGTCATACCTGATTGCTTGCTAAATGAGAGGCAACTGTGACATTGACCACGGCTAACATAACTAAGCAGACCTCGGTCCAATCATGTGCCGAGCCAGAGATCTGCAACTGCATTGAGATGCCACCCGCAGCCCTGTGCGGCCTGGAAGTGGGTGGGATACGAGCTTGTAAGAGTTCATCCTGAAACCTAAAACACATTCATGACGCTTGCCTGAAACAGCTTGATACTTGCTATGGCAATCGCAATCTGGACTTGGGCTGACACCTGATAAATGTGTTTGCCGGCACGTGGGGCTTTTGCACACATGAAAAGGCAGTGCCAACCTACAGCCTCACGCAGCCATCTCCACCAAGAACAAAGGAAGAGCTTGGAAGTCCCGGAAGACGGCGAAAATCGTGGGCGCCTCTGCATTGTCTACGGTGGAGTCGTAGCGATCACCGTGCTCATTCAGAACGGGAGGCTCCACGTCTTCACGTGAACCCTTGCAATACCTTCCGACCAATACTCGTGAGGCGAAGAGCACCTTCGTCCCGTCTTGTCCGCCACCCTTCTTGTCGCAGAACCTCATGGAGTAGCGCGGATCCGAGGAGAAGTAGGTGGCGTGGCCCAGCAGGGTGCCGTGTCTGCCTGCGAAGCTGCGGTTGAAGCCCTGCTTCAGGATCTTGGACACAAATGCCCAGGAGGTGCCATGCCAAAGCTCTCGCTCCTCTGGCTCCGCGCCATGCTGGGCCATGGCTGCCCTTAGCGCCCCATAGACGTGCTCCTGGGCATTGGTGGCATAGACGCCCACGACCTTTGCGTCCGGCAGGCGGTCTGACAGCTGGCGCCTCAAACGCGCCTCCTCCTCGGGGGCGGGGTGGGAGATGAGGCCCAGCTCGAGCAGCAGTGCGCAGCTGGGCTCCTTGCACCCCACCTCCGGCGCCCACTTGAGGCGCACGGACTGGGACTTTGCCACGGCCGGGGAGTTGGGCCCAGAGCTGTTGCCATCCCGAGTGGGCGGGGTGAAGGATAGGGAGTTTGAGGTGGAGCGGGTGCTGCGCACCATCGGGGAGGTGGCAGCGCGCCTGGGCCGGCGGGTGGGCTCGCCGCAGCTCCGCTCGTGGGTCGCCAGGACTTCCCGGCGGAACTGCCGGGAGCAGTTGGCGCACCGCTCCAGCTGACTGCAGAAGGCGCTGTAGGAGTCGATGGCGGCAGCTGGGGGCCCTGCGAGGGTGACCCTCCGCCGCGGCGGACGCTTTGGCTCGGGCTTTGGGCGGTGTAGGCAAACTCGTTGGTGAGTGACCAAGCGGTCTGGTTGGAAGGTGCGCTTGCAATACTCGCAGGGTACAAGCTTGAAGGGGTACACTTGCCGTGTATCTTTTGCGTCTTCTGGTGTCTCAGGGGTCTCACCAATACTTACTGACCCATTGCTTCTCATTAGGTCACAATGCTGCTCCAAGCATTGCACGCCAGATGGAAGTTGGGACTCTTCCAGCAAGGGGCAGCGTTCCTGGGGCGGTAGCTTCGACTCGCGCAACTCGAAACGCCGCTTGCACGCCTTCAGATGCATATCCAGGGACTTGTGGGTCAAATACTTCTGGCCGCACACGTAACACCGCAAAGGAGCAGGAGGTGCTCTGCTTTCCAGCACGGTGTCATCAACAAAAGATAAGCCTGACATGCCTCGGCGCGCGGGTGCAAAGCCGCGTGTTTGCGAAAACTTAAACGTGGACCAGCTGCGAACAGCTCCAGTTTGTTTGAGAGACTCATGTCCTTAAGTTCATCTATTTTATGATCAAATTCGCCATCACCTGCTGTTGCAAGGAGATGACATGGTTACTAAGTTATAAAGTCGCTTTATCAACAAGCACCTGTTCACCAACCTTCGACATGTCAGTGAAATTCGCCTGTTCAAATACAGGAGTCTCGAATCGGTGCATCTTGAGACTTAAAATCCAAGGCGCAAAGCTCCAAGGCCTTCCTCTCATCTCCCGAGGAGACCTTACCCCAACGCGGTTTTGGAGCGCCATTCTTCTGGGTTGAACCAGTGGCTAGGTGAATGCAATCGGAGAGAAACACCCAACAACACAAAAGGGGGCACGCTTCACAAAAGGGAAATCAACCCCACAAAAGCTTCCCCAAAAGCTGTGGAGAAGAAAGCGAATAGACCCACTCGTCAACCCCACAAACACTTCATCAAAAGCTGGGGAGAAGAAAGCTGCAGAATGACCCACTCGAATGAGACACGTGTAGCGCAACTTTGGCCACGTCCGGGCCAAAGCCCATCCCTTGGAGCCGCTGCATGGAGCCGGCATCGCTTCCATTCTTCTGGGCCTCCAAAAGCACGCGCTGCAAGAAGCCTCGGCTTCCAATGCGCTGTGTCAAACAGGAGGGCCCAAAATGGTGGCGTTTCTTTTGGTTTCCCTTTGAACTCAAAGGGAATATGGGGCAAAAGGTGGTTGCTTTATTATGATTAGTATAATCATTATCATTATTATGTTCCATTTGAACTCAAAAAACAACTGGGGCTGCTTGAACCTACAAAATTGCGGTTTGAGTCAGAAGCCGGACATTAGTACCACTTCCCTTGAACCACGACTTGGCTTAGCAGCGATCATCCGAGAACTGCAGCGCCAAGCCCGGAACGCTCTCGCCCGATGCCATAGCTTCGTCGATACGCCTTTCTTTGATGGCATATGCCTTGCATAATGAGTGCTTGCATTGTCCGACGGGTGTCATAGGCTACCTGGCTTGCATTTTCCGACGGGTGTCATATGCTACCTTGCTTGCATTTTCCGACGGGCCATGCAAATGAGTTAACTTGTCAAATCGCCACCTTCCTGAAAACGGCCGCGCGGAATCTTCAGGGACTTGCCAAGGAGCATAGTGAAACCTCCAAGCTCGAAAAATCATGCTAACTTGCGCTGAAGTGATACATTCTGCACAGCACATCTATCTCCTGCAATCAGCATTTTGTCCAGTGATGATTGCCCTATCTCGTTGCGAAGTTTCGCAAAACGTCGCAAAACGGTGAACCCCTTTCGTTGACGTGTTGAGGGAACTCATCAAATCAGGAATACACCATTTGTCCTATTTGGGAACCAACCACACCAGTGAGCCCATCCAAACCTCGAACCAGATTTCTCCAAGCGTTCCCGTCCACGTTTTGGGTCGCAAGCGCTTGCCCCCCGCCTCATGCAGGCCATTCTGAGTTCCTGTTAGCCCCTATCTTGATGCTCGCTCAAGGCACAGCCATGTCTGCAGTGCTCGGGCTTACTTGCGCATGTTGAATGTCTAGTTCGCGCTGAGCGGTGCTTGGGTTCTTGCAAGTGCTTCTCGACTCCTCTGGGATAAGCTCTTGAAGATCAAAAGCTCGGAAGCGGAGTAGTTCCACTTGAGCCAAGATTGCCCGTCTTTCAAGCTGGGCAATTTTCAAGCTGGGAATTGTCTGTGGAATGGAGATGGCAAATCATCAAGAGCTCGGACTGTTGATAGTTGACTGACGGAGGCAACAATATGGAAGTCGCACAGCAACAAGCATGGAATTCTGCGGAATTCACCGTTCCAAGAAAACGGGGCAATCCTTCCTTTTGCCTCTGGTATCGGCTTCCAGGATTGGAAAACAGAACTTATGCATCGCATCCTAATCATAGGTGTCCTTTTAGGGGAAATAAATGGCCGTGGTAGATGATTAAACCACCAGGTAAACCAGGAATCACCCTCTATTATTCTACCAAAACAACCAAAAAGGACACCTATGATCCTAATTGTTTTATTCGTGGAATCCAGGAAGCCAAGCACCGCCTTCCTTCATGGGCTTCCCTGACAAACCCGGCCTCGTGGCAGCGGGCCTCAGTGGCATTTGGAGAGGGAAACTGGGTCGAAAGCAAGTCAACAAAACCGTCTTTCAAAGGGGGGGAGTTGGGAACCAGGAAGAAGCAGGCTCTTCAAGCATATCAAGATTATCCACCGTGAAAAAGAGCTGGCGGTGGGTGAAAACGGTGAACATCAAAATATGTGGCACATGGATGTTCATCCACCCCAAAATGGAGCTATAGGTTATACCCCATGGCCAGCTGACAAATAAAAAGAGTACTAGTTGAAGTGCTGTGGATGGTATGGCACTCATGTCCCGCTGATCGCGGATAAGAGTACCTGGTGCACCCGGGACCCTCTTCGGCAAGCCAACCAACGTGTGTACCGTCACTTGCTGTGTCTATGGTCCTGCTTTGTCCCTATGGCCCGTGCCAATGTAATTGCTGATTCGCAAACTCTTGCCTTCTCAGCGCTGAATCATAAAGGCCACTCTCCAAAAAGCTTATCTCGGTTTCTGGGGAGAAACAAACACACATCGCAAAGGATTCCCATTGGCTACAAGGATGATAGGACAATGTGTATGCCGCTGTTTGCCATTTCCTTGGGGCGACGATTGCTAGTCAACGCCGCAGTTTGCCGCACGAACCACACCAACCTCCAGGCCTGACCCCAAACAGGTTGATGAGGGAATAACTGAAGCCAGAACGCCCGTGTGCTGCTTTTGTTGGACATGCGCCAAGCGCAGGGGCTCCGTTTCGTCCCAGCTTCCAGGGTCATCCCACGCTTTCACGCCTGGCGTGCTCATCTTTGACTGGGATGATGCGTGCCCTCAAGGAACCGGCGGCGTGTCGTCCTCGACATCCCGGCGACGCCGGAGCCTGGCATTGAGTTCTTGAGCTGCAGAAAGTCGGCCGTAGGGGAAACAGCCATTGCCAAAGTGGAAAGTTGAGTCCAAAGAGAAACCGAAAGATCAGATCAGCCATGATCAGCCCAGCTGCTTGGCCCGGAAGGATGCGCAATCTCTGACGGGACTTGCCCAATCGACAATGAGGAGACACAAGATTCGCCATGAGGTGTCTGTCATCCTTCGCAGCAAACGTTGTTCAAACCTAAGTAGAACCGACTTATCTCACAGTTGCTCTGGCAAAGTCTTCAACCCCTGAATCACCATGCAAAAGAACATACCCCATCGTCTTCATTCCTGGCGTATATCCTACGCCCTTTTGCTTGTGATGTCGCCTGGAAGGGCGGGGTGTGGTTGGCGAGCTTGCCTGCCAGGTCCGAGGCAACCACCCTCCGCATCTCACACACGCCATGGCCCAGAACACTTGGTGCCACAAACTCAGGGAATACTCAAGGGCTTGGGCCTGGGATTTTGAACACTCGAAGGGCTTGGGCCTGGGATTTTGAACACTCGAACAGCTCAAATTAAGCAGCTAGGGTCCTAGGCTACGGTTTCGTCTTTGGTTCCGTCTACCAAGGTGCCATTCTGGTCTCCATGTTGTTTGACCCACAGCCAAATGAGGGATCCATTGATCCATACTCAAGGGCTTGGGGCGATGAGCACTCGAAATCTTTTGATGAGGACCCCCCTCCCAAATGGTGGGTGGACATAAATCCCCACCTAAATGATGTCCACCAACAAGTCCCTCATTGAAATTCACACCCAAATTGCAAACCGAATGTAGGGTGGCATTGGCCCGAAGCGCCTCCTTCACCAGCGGCCGCTTCACCCCTTGGGCTGGCGAGGTCGGCAACCCCATAGCTGCAAGCGAAGCCGGTCGCGCAGTCCGGCACGCTCAGGTCGGCTGAAGTGTTGAAGCACACTGTGGCAGCTGTGCGGCAGCTTGAAATGCACTGCGTTATAGTGGCTTGATGTGGCTGGTGCGCACGACATTTCTGGTAAGTCATGGATGTCCGGCCAACCCTCGTCGATATCCCCGTCCGGCAACCGCTGACATGCAAAGCATGGACGCGACATGCAATGGATCATGTCTTCCCTGAGCACCAGCTCTCTCAAAAGTGGGAGTCCCGTTTGGACATCGCGGACAAGCAACCCGACTATGTGGCTCAAGAACCTAAAATTGCCCTTGCACGCTTTTCCCCAACGCTGCAGCTTGCCCCCAGCTGCACCGCATCCCAACGCCCCCAAAAAACTAAGGAAACTCTCCTGGAGAGAGCTGCGGACACAAATCCCCGGTCGCAGCCATCAAACTTCTTGCGTCTTCGACTGTAGCTTTTGAAATCTGCCGGTCTTTGCAAAACACGTCTGGTGGCTGACCAATCGCGCGGAAGCGTGAGACTTGACCCGCCGTTCAGCTCTTCTCGATCTTCTTGAAGTCTACCCGCATCCGCTCCTTCAGGGATCCCTGACCTGGCAGTTCTCAAGAGCCGGCCGGTTTTGGGGGTCTCCAGTGATTTGGCTGTGGGTCAAAAGCCAAATCGGTCAGCCCCCAGTGAACATCCCGATCCCCACCAAAATAGGCTCTAAAATGGATGGTGCACCTACCCCAAAATGGCACCATTTGTTTTGACCCACAGCCATTTGCAAAGAAGGCACCAAGCAACCCAAGACCAAGCAAGGTCCTCCACCTTCTGCAATGAGCGTATTGAATGTTTGTGGCAGCTACTGCTGGCCCTTTAATCCGACTTTGATCTTGTATTTCAAGTAACCCTTGCAAAAGGAGCCGCTCCAAGCCAGCCAGAAAACAAACCAACAACCTGTTGTGATGCCCAGTCTTCAGTTGTTGACAAATTGATCTAATTTAGAACAAGTTTTGAATTGTAGCAAATTACAGTAAGTTGGCTTTAATTGGACATGCCCCTGCATGTTGGATTTGCTGAACTTGGGATGGAATGGCCCTGTAACGCGAATGTTAGGCGACTGTGTCTCAACACCAAATGCGATTATATCACAAGCTATATAGTAGGAACACACAACATGCGACTTGGACAAGGGTGCCAAACAGGAACAGCATTAGGTAGGTCACTGCCAAACAAAGAAAATAAGGGAAAATGACTCCCCAAAACCTAAGCAACATGGAATTTGGGGACCACCCCTGGCAAATTCACCACATTAGGCTAAATCAAGACAAATTACACCAACCACAAGTGGGCAAATGCGTAGTGAGTTCTCCTAGTCCAAACGTGATATCATTCCCAAGCTGGTCCAACGACTACAGATTTGCAAGCCATAGCTTCAACTTCGGGTTCATGCGTGATCGCAACCTGTGGGGTGGTCTTCTTGGGAAGGGGGGGCTCATTTTGGCCTGGACACCATATCCGACACAGGCCGGCTTTCGCTGGTTCGGGGAGCTCCCGGTTCGGCCCTCCCCCGCCTTCCGCGATCCAGAGCTCCGCGAAGGTGCCGGGGCCCGCGGCTTCGCAGAGGGGCCCCGGGTTCAGGAACAAGGTGCCGTCCACCGAGGTCCTCGAGCGCATCTGAGGTCCTCATCCTCCCCCCCGGTGTTGGAAAGGGTTCGCGTGGGCTCGGGTCTATAGGGCTTTGGGGCGTCGGGTCCGGCCTTTTTCTGGGGGGGACATGTTGGCAAACATATTGGAATGGATAGGGCCGAAGCAGTGAAGAAAATGGTGGGCTTGTTGAGAGCTTCCCGACAACTTCCATGGCTCACTGAGATGTTGAAGGCAAACATGAGGCATAGCCTAAGAGGCTGTGACATTCATTCAACTCGCAGGATGTTTCGATATCTAGCACGGCTAAGCTGAACTTGTAGAATGTGCTTTTAAGACTTTTGCTGGCTACATCAAGTATATGAGGAAAGTGTCGAGCTGGACCTGTGGCATCTTCAAATTGCAGGACTCTCCACAAAGGATCAATTTCAACGTTGATCTGGTTCTGAACAACGGCCTCATTTT